AAAAAAAATGGACTCTCTGATAAGACTCCCTAAGCCTGACACAAAAAATTGAAAATTATTTACCGCGACACGAGTTACTTATCGTTCTTACTTAGCCATTACTAAAGCCATTTCAATATCGAAATTTTCTTACTCTCGCTGTCTAAATAAAACTTCTTAGTTCAGTTGTTTGTCGCGCAAAAATTAATTTGAAAAGATATAGTTGCTATCCTTTTCCTTGAAATATTTTAATTAAATTAAAAGAACTATAAAAAATCTTCTTAAAGGGAAAATCATTTGAAAATGTAAATGGACGTCAACGCACACACAAAGAAACTTACTTACAGGCACGTGTAAATGTAAGCCACATTAAACCACATTATATTGCATAACTGCGCATTTTGCTCGTAACATCGCAAACAAGTTCCAACGTATTGAAGTTATAAATAAATTCAAACAATGGATGTAATAATCACACAACTGCATTTATAGCATTTAACACCCTCGTGGAACAAATTGTGAACAAAAAGGAAAACATCACTGAAGCAGCAATACCGCTAACACACTCGCTACACTTTCAATCGAAGCTTTACGATATTCCATCGTACGCCATGGACCAGCATGGGGGTAAAAGATAACAGGAAGTAAAACGTTTTTTTTTTTTTTTGTTTAATTCTTCTTCGCACTATCCACTTTAAAAGTCATATCGGCCTCTTACATCAACCCTCCAAAGATTTGGTAGAGGCGTGTTTCCCCACGCAACACAACGCTTGACTTGACACTTTACCTCTCTCTTTGTACAGCATGTAGTTCATGTTTGTCGCGTACATTGTTAACCATACACGCAAAATAGACTGACTACCCAGACAGTCAATGTCGAACGCTTTTAAAGACTAGAAAAATTGTATAAAGTATTTAAAAACAAAATCCCTCTGCACTTGCAAACGAAGCTAGTGGCCGTGAAAACACCCAAGCGCGCATATGAGCGAAAAGATAAATGGTTAATAGTTTCATCATTGCAATAAATTGTAATTAGAGAGGGCGGTAGTTGCATTCGATAGCAGCGTATAGAAGCGTAAGTAACGAAAGAAAAAGATCATTTCTCTGATAGCGTTTAGTGTCCGCGTAACTTAACAAACCTTACCATGTCCTTGTTGGGCATCCATTAAAGTTAACGATGATAGCTGCAAATCGTTTTTACAACAAATAGACGACAATTACTGATAACACATTTGCCCCACAAAAAACCAGAAAAATAAATAAAAAGAGAAAACAATTTTGAGAAGAAGAATTGTTTTTATGTAAAGTTAAGAAAAAATCGCTTGAAACATTTGCTAAACGTTTCTCACTTTGCATTCCCCTTATCTAGAGCTTTCACTTCATAATTTTATTGAAAATCGAATAAGCCTTTCCCGCAACTACTCTGACGATGTGTTTAGTTATCCATATTATTTTCAATTTTTTTTTCTTTGATAAGAGCACACAAATAAAGCTTAACGTTTCGTTTTGTTGACTTTGGCTTGCATTATCATTACTTTAACAGCGTCTATGTAGGATGACAGACTTAACGTAAGAGCAGAACATTTTTGTTTTATTCTTAACCCAAAACTAATACAGCCCGTTATCGCTGCAGTTGCATGGATCTGCCGTTAATTTCCCCTGACAACCCACATCGCTTGCATTAAGATTATGACCATTTGCAATTCAATATGTCCACTTGTTAAATCCACCCACCTATAGCTCTCTCAAGTTTCTTTGTAAAGTGCCTAATTTTTGATAATAAGAATTGCTAGAAAGTAGTCATTTAATATATCAGCGAGAGCCGTGTAGCTTGAAGGCAGATAGACAGACGAACAGACAGGCTTAGCTCAATTCAGATTATGATTCTGAATCGATCGGTATAATAAAAGGTGGGTCTGTTTTAAACCCTTCTGCACGTTACACACGGCGGCAGCAAGTTAATACACCTTGTACCACAAGTGATGTGGGGTATTAAAACGCGTATAACTTCTTAAACGTGACATCTATGTTAAAAACCATTTCGAGGCTGTAGGAAAATCTGCGCGCAAGAACACCCCACAGACGATGACAGAATTATTAGTCGGCACTTTTTTGTGGAGCGGAATTAGGCGGTAGCTGCATTCCATGATTTAACAGATTTGTTGTTCCTGTTTTGTTAGCATATGGTATTTAATCCTTCTTAACTTTTGATTTAATTAAAACTTTGTAAAATAAGTATATAATTTACATATGCTCAACAAGCAGGTTTCCGTGGTGTAGTGGTTATCACATCCGCCTAACACGCGGAAGGTCCCCGGTTCGAGACCGGGCGGAAACATTGTGGATGGTGTCAGGTGAAGTGGGCCGATTTTTATTGATCATCACTAAATTTTTTTACTTTTGACTTTAATTAAAAACCTGACTCAAATTACTATTTTAATTATTATGAAGCATTATTAGACATTGAATAAATAATGGAACAAAAAAGAAGTTCACCATACATAGTTTCTGAGTGATACTTATTTACATCATATGCTGCTTAAAAAAATAATTATATAATTTAACTAAGGAAAAGTAAATATCGCGCTTCACTAAGGGCTTCACATGAGCATGGTTACACTAACAACATGTTACCTTCAAGGAGAAACCTGAATAGCCATTTCATATAAATGGTAAAGTAATGTATATCAGTTGGCAATAAATCGTTGACAATAGATTAATAAGTTCAGAGGATGAAAATATGCGAAGTTAAAAGCCAATATTTGGTTGTTACGTAGTAAATCCATAAAAATATGCTGAATGTTGAAATTCACGTCAAAGGAAAGATTAAGAAACAGCAAAGTATTATCCATTTATCCTAGCAAATCAAATATGGAAGCAATGAAAATCGATACAAATATTTCATTTACAAAATTATATACTAATGAACCATTTTAATTCTGAGTCAGAATTTAGTATTATCAATATGCAGGAAATGTTTAATGAAGATTTGAAATTCGTTCGTACAACGAGGCAGACACTTAGCAATGTTCAAACGAAAATATCGCAAAATTCTCAAATGGTCGTCCATGATGCGATAGAAAGCATCGTTGACGAATACAACGCGTTTTGGCAATAAATCATTATAACCATTAAAGAAATCATGTAACATTCCACTGAAATCCAGGTTAAGTCTCTTTTGCTAGCTGATCTTTTTTGAATGAATTTCGAAATTTTTGTTGTTTGTATGTCTTTGTAATCATCGCAACCCTTAAACTTGAAATATTCGGATAGAAAAATTAACCAAAGATATAAATTTCCAATGGAATATCAGCGCTTGGCTAAGTACAGTTTAATTTCAGTCCCATCACTTTCTAAACAACTACTTATTGTATTCGAACTAAGTCAAAAGAGAAACTGATTTATTCAGCCTAAGCGAGAAGTACAACTTATTTATTCAACCTAAGCCAAAAGTAGAACTTATTTAAAATACTTCGCTGTTATTTGGTACTTTATAGGATGTCGTCGGTGTGTTTGGCTAGACTTCAATTAGTGAAGGCAACCACCACAATAATAATTAGTGCATTTATTTTTCGTTAGGGAAGTTGTATTATATATATAATACTTAGAATTGAATACCGCGTGTTACAACTTGATATATGTACGTCCTTTAAACATTCCTTTATGTAGCCCGGGTAGCTCAGTCGGTAGAGCATTGGACTTTTAATCCAAGGGTCCAGGGTTCAAGTCCCTGCTCGGGCGGCGCGGCAATACTTATTGTTGTGATTTTTTTTATATTATAAAACTAAGTTCAAAAATACGTTGAAGTATTTTTGTCGTACTCTATACAGAATTGTGATCGCTAAATAATTCCTCAAAAACGATATAGGCTTTATAAATAAAACACATCTACGAACGGAGATTTCTTTACAATTAGCAAAAGTTTGGCGTCACAACTATATACATTTTTGAATTGCATTTGCACTGCCAATTCAAAATAGAGAGCGACAAAAACATCGCTTGTATTAACTTATAAATTTACATACTTAAATATAAAATATATGTTTTTTTTTAAAAAACGACGGATGCATCGGCCGGGAATCGAACCCGGGCCGCCCGCGTGGCAGGCGAGCATTCTACCACTGAACCACCGATGCCTGACAAATACTGGCTTACACTACTTTTAAATGGAATAGTAATATGATTTATTAAATAATAATAAAGAGATATTGAAATAACGTACACATTTTATTTACGAATTACTTTAACAAATTTCCCCAAAATATCCAACTGCTGTGTTGAAATTACGATTAACTTTATGATTTAAAACTTTAATTGCCTTAAACTACTTATATTTTTAGTTTTATTGTGTACGCAATTTATTTGTATAAATAGTCAATGATTCAATCTTCGTAAAATGAAATTTTTGTAAAAGAAATAGCATAGTTTGGCGCTACAATTTTAGAGGTTTAAGTGTTTTTAGGAAAATAAATCGATGTCAAAAAAAATAAAATATTTTCTCAGCGCTCTTGCATCGGTAGAACGTTTGTCTTTTCGAGCACACATTTTGTTCAGAAGCTGATGAGTGCAGGCAAATTTCCAGATCTGTTCCGGTTCTTGCGGTATTAACTTCATTTTAAATGAATTGATGTGTGTTAAATTTTGAATAAAAATATATATATAACGATTTTCATCTTTTTACATTCTTTGGATTATATGGATTAAAAATTACTATGCTTAGTTTTGCTGGCTGCCGATATTTAAACGGAAATTTGCTGAAAGTGGTGAGGTGATCTAGTCACATTTATTACCCTGCTAACGCCTTCATAAAAAATTTGTAAGTGACGCCCAAGCAGGGACTTGAACCCTGGACCCTTGGATTAAAAGTCCAAGGCTCTTCCGACTGAGCTACCCGGGCCACGTAGGCGCCGTCTCTTATCTATGTTATTGAAAATTCGTCTTTTTTTTGATATATTTATTTAAATATATATAAGATTAATTTAAAATGGTCATGACAATTTGTAACTAAACTTTAGTGAAAATGATATTTTAATACTAAAAGAAATTAAAGTATACGCTATAGTTTTTTGGGAGCATTGTTTTAAGGAAAATCTAAATCAGTGACTTTTAAATTCAAGGATTACAGCGGCACACGCAACATGAGGGAAACAGAAACCAATCCATGAAAATACCTTTGCAGTCGTTGTCAGGATCATACGCCAACAAACGATGCCATTTGTATTTTTGCTCACAACCGCAGTCATCCTGGCAGCGTGGAGTTTGAGCTTTGCTAAAAATTTTACGATGGTCAAGACAGTAAAATTATGAAAATAATGTATTAATTTTAGGCGAACGGTTTAAACGAGTTAGTATGTACAAAGGAAATAAACTTACGAACATATTTCTTGGTGTATGGCTTGTTCAAAATGTTGTGTATTAACTATGGCTCTAATTTTTCCAGCTGAGTTTGATGCCCAGTAAGGAGTAACTATCTCAATTTTTGATTCGCAGGCATCTAATCTGTATTTGAAAAAAGCATATGTAAACAATATAAAAAAATTTTGCATAAATCTGAGGTATTTCCACATATCTGACCTTCCCGAACCCGACGATCTTGAACCATTCGAATTAGTTTGCTTAGCATTACGGCTACCAGCCTGATTGTTTTGCCTTTTATTTCTAAGCTTGCCGAAGTAGCTCTCACCAGTTTCTTCCGCATGTGCGTCTAACCGATCGTTTTCTGTTATCACTGAAGGAAGCACACCTGGAGGTATAAATATGTCCGGTTCGTCTATGAAACGTTTTTTACGCTTTTTAGCTTGTTGCTTAGGTCCACCATTATCCATATTCATTTCAAAGTCACCGTACATTCGGCGCATTAAAGCTTTATTCTCATCAATAAAACGTTCAATTTTGTCTCTACAAGGAAAAGATGGAATTACAACCAAAATAATACAAGTTATTTGTCTTCATCAGATAAATAAAACAAGTAAAAATAAAAAATTTGGCGTTAAAATTGCTCCTGTTGATAACATGGGGGAATAAACTTCTCAGCTTGTATTCTATAATTTGCATGATATTAAGGGCACCATCATTTAATTGCGATATCTTAATACTTAACATAAAAACAATTAATCGCGGGAGAATAAATAGCATAGTAATGGTTCATACCTTGCAGAAAAATATTTCAATTGTATTAATTTTCTGCCCTTTCCCCACATATTTTGGGTGCTTACCATGTTGCACCCGTAAGGGACATGACTTGGTTGATCATATTTTAAAAAAATATAATTTCAAGTTGATCGGTATAAGAAAAAAGAAGAGCAATTTGTATCTAATTAATCGATGGTAAATAATGCAAAGAGCAATAATTCAACTCATAGTGAGAAATGTAACTCGCCCCTATACAATTATATTTCAAGTAATCCTAACGAGCTATTTCTAATGGCGCCGTGTGCCTGTGGGAGAATCCGCACTTAAGAATAACCTCTTCAACGTTGAAGAGAAAATATCAGCATCAACTACTTGGATTACAATATTTACAATATAGAAAGCCTCCAGTGTTGTTATGAAAATCCCACATTTTATGATTTGAGTATGGATGGTAAAACCAAATTCATGACGCTTCGTCGAACAAAGAGATTACCAACAATCAGAAGTATATATAACGGAAGAAAGAATGATGTGAAGTACCGGTAAGATGTTTGGAAAAGATTATGTAAGCAGAAAGAATAGAAAAAGCATCGTATATATGGGTTTCTGTAAATACTTTGTAAATAGATCTCTATAAGAAATTTAGATAACTTCTACGTTAATTTAAAAATATCAATTTAGTGGCATCAAATTCATCTCAAAAGTAATTAAATAAATACGTAAAGCCTTAAAAGGACCGTTTTACCTTACAACATAAAAGGAACGTAAAAATTCATTAAAGAGAGGGAAATATGAACCTTTGGGACACTGCAAAACCCAACAGAAATGTTCTGTGGTGTTCAATATATCCAACACACGAAACACATTGGACGAATAAACGCCGCTAGTGACGCGGACATTAAAGGATTCAATTCAAATAGTGACTTTAATTCAATGAGCTTTCCATGCATTCCATGTCCTTGAGAATGATCAAATATATACGAAATGTAAACAGGTATACTCAAGATCGGTTTTCAAAAAAAGCGCAGATGGAACAAAAACCGACACATAAAAGCTCTTAATAAAACCAAAATTCATCTGAGGCATGTAACACAAACGTCAACAAAGTTTATAAAAACCAGCTCGAATGGTTTAAGTAATGTCATCAAAATTATAAAGTATATTCTTAAAGAAAATTACAGCTTTGTGACTTGTTTATCATTACTTAATACTTTAATATTTCAGTAAGCTGCAAAAATAGACAGACATTTCTTTTTTTAATTACTTAGTTCATTCATTTTTTAACAAAGATGGCGTGAATGATGCACTAGAGACTGTAAATAATGAATGCCTTCGAAAGAGATGCTTAGACGAGGAAACGTCAACTCACTGAAAATCGTTCTCGATAGCCGATTAGTGATTTTCGAATAGGTAAGTGAAGTTATCAGCGTATTCACTATTTTCACGTCAAAAGCTACATGCATATGTTCATTCGCAGCGGGACCATTGTATCAACGTTCATTGTTGGCAAAATGGCGAGAACTCAAATTCGACTGCCTCGACCCACCCTGTTATCCAAACCAAACGACTCTTACCTGTCAAACAAACTTGTAAAATGCTTTGATTTGTTTTGATTTCTCTCTGAAATCGGTTAGCGGTTTTTTTCTTTTACATAGTTAAGCAAAGAAACTCAACAATTTTTGCATGAATTATGATCAATATATCATCTACAAATGACTACTAACCACACTAATACCATCTACAAACGGCCACTAACCACACTTACATAAATTATGATCAAAATACCATCTACAAATGACTAGAAATATCATTCACTCAGCAAACAACACTAGCTTGAACCGTTAAATATACAACTAATAATAATATAATAATATTTATTCTGTTAAGCTTGAATATATAACGTAAAGTCGACTTTTATAAAGAAGGATATAAAAATAACAAATCGAAATTTTTAGACGTCTGCGTACAGGCATCGGTGGTTCAGTGGTAGAATGCTCGCCTGCCACGCGGGCGGCCCGGGTTCGATTCCCGGCCGATGCAAACTTTTTATAATAAATTGCAAGTTCAAACCCGTGAAGAGATAGATGGGCTGGAGAAAAAAATTAAAAACAATTATCTTGTTTTTCTGTCTACACATTTTTAGATAAAAACAGTATTTGCTGTGATAAAAATCTTAGTACCGTTTTTTCAATTATATGCTTAGAAAATACGATGACTAATGCAATGAAAACTGGCAACTTTGCAATTTATTTTATATGCGTATATTAAAATATCTAATTTCATTAGCGTTAATAATATCATTAGCATGAAAGCAAAGTTCGTTTCGGTTTCGAACTTTTTTTTATATATTCAAATAAAAGCGCGAAGCAATTGACAAATCCTGTGTGCAAATAGTATGGAAGCATTGAAATTCTCCTTTAGAATAACTAAATATACAATGCCTGAGGTAAACTTGCTTTCTAATTAGAAAATTCATTTTTTGATATATTTTAAACTTGCATTGATTTGTGGAAAGCAATTTTTTGACAAAAACAAATATAGTTGGGGGCAAAAGAGTAGTGCAGTGAAAATCGTATTAACGTATTTTGCTCGTTGCGCGGATCAGCAAAAACATGAGTCAAAACCCACTCACATAGCGCCCGAGCAGGGACTTGAACCCTGGACCCTTGGATTATTTAATCGATGGGTACCGACTGAGCTACCCGGGCTGTAAAAAACGCTTCACATAAACAACTTTTATATCAAAGAATAGGTATTTTAAGTTCTGGTTCCTATTTGCGACAATTATTAATTTCATGTAAGGCCTCACAATGTATATATGACATTATCAACATGACATTCCGAATTGATTTAACCATGCCTAAGCCAACGCATACACTCGCAATTAACAAAGTATTCTTCGATTACAATACTTTAATTAAATTTGATTGGTGCTACAGATTTTCCCTAGCTCGCTGAAATTTTATAAAGGATTAAAAGTTTAATAGTTAATACTGTTTTTTTGTCCTAATAGCGACTTTGAGGTATTTTAAGTATACTAATTTTGATAATTTAGTTCTATTCAAAACTTATTTACATTCACAACATTGCCGTTGAACTTACATTGGATAACTGTTGCCAGCAGTTGGACAGAATAACTGATGATAACGTTTTATACATGGCACACCTTTGATAACATCGCCTCGTACATCTAAGCCCAACGCCACTGATAAGGCGGTCCACCATATCTGCCAGAAAAAGAATTAAAAAAAGATTAAATATATTTTTCTAGCAAAGCAACGTTGAAGAAGATAACCATTGTCTAGACGATGCTTTTGTACTTGAAATGACAAGCCTAATAATAAACAGTACGCATTGCATTGCATATGGCCACAGAAAAGCAGTTACTTGAGAAAAAAGAACACTATTAACCCTTTCCTCTCCTATGCACAGTGAGTAAGGGAAGGTAAGGTGTTTTATCTTCAAAGCATTGCTAGCAAAATGGTCCTCTTGGAATCCGCTAGCTCCCTTGATAATCAAAATTGCATAATTTGATGGACCTAAAGTCATGCATGTTTTTTGAAGCGTACATGTGGTCTTTTTTAAATGGCCTCACCAATACACCACCACAAAATTCTACCTAACCACATTTGGGACAACTAGACTCGACGTTGCAATTATTGTATGTAAATTTATTAAACTTTTTTTTTCTTAAAAATAACATTTTACATGCAAAAAAAAAAAACAAATGCAAAGTGCAAAGGAGTAAAGAATGACTTTGTTGAAAAAATAGCGGTATTTATTAGTTCTAGTGTTACTTTATCAGCTTTTTAATTAAATTTATTTAATTATCATGCTCTCTCTTCCCGACATTCTCGAATAAAACAAACACCAGAATTTATAGTTTACTAATTTATTCTACCAAGTATCGATTTTAAACATTCTGTGGTAATATCATTTTCTCTTCACGCTTTAAACATTGCACAAGTAATGATCTCTGTTTGATCAAATATCATTTCACTATAACTTTCTCGTTTATTCATCTCTCTGTTTTCACTAATTAGAGCAGTAACAAAATAGAATATTTTATAAGAAACTTTTCAATGATTTTTTATACTTTTTCTCTGTTAATATCGCTCTGACTTACTTGCATACGTATTTTGAAGAAAAATATGATATGATATAATAGGATGATTCAGAATGACCTTTCATTGTATATAATAAACTGATTGCTGCTTTGAAATATAAACGATAAGAAAAATGGAAAAAAAACCAAATTAAATCTGAACCGAAAACGTTGTGATTATAGACTGGCTGGAGAAGTCAACCATTATTATTGTGGCATCGGTGGTTCAGTGGTAGAATGCTCGCCTGCCACGCGGGCGGCCCGGGTTCGATTCCCGGCCGATGCAGGATTTTTGCTACGGCAGATAATTTTTTTTTAAATCCTAATTAAATTTATGCAATTAAATGAAATTATAATAAATTTATGTATATAAATTTCAGAAAGAAAACGAACTTTTTTAGCAAAGTTTACCAATCAAAACAACCGGCCAATAAACGATATTACGCCATGTCCGTTGTTCAGATTTACTGTGCTGATCTTACTTCACCTTGTTGTTGTCTGTTATGGCGTGAAAAGGTTTTGTACAGCGACAAATTCCTAACATTTTACTCTCTATTCTCAGTACATTAAGCTCAAAAATTCAAATAAGCTGAAGCTAAAATGTATAGGTTAACCACTAAAAGGCAAAAATTCAAAAATAGCGAAGTTGTCTCTCTCTCTTTCTCTTAATCTTTCACCTACAATTGACAGGCATTTTGTTAGTTAACTACAATACTTTGACGCTATACACATTTCGCTTATGTCAGAAGCAAGCGTTCAGTTATTGAAACGAATTTAAACAAATCTTCTTCGTAGTAATTATGAGAAAGCAAAAACGAAACTGGGAAAAACGATGTAAATCGAAAATAATTTTTTTTATATCTGCCTAGCAAAAACAATATATTGCTTAACAACATTGAAGACGCTTGTTGGTTTAATTGTCGAACGTTTGTAAAGATATTTCCATTCTCGGGGAGTCGGTGCAAAGTTGGGTGTCTTATTATACTCATAAGATCCTACATTAAAAAAAAAAAATAACGAACTCGCTATTTACTACCATGCTTAGTATCGAACATCATTGCAGCATTCACGAGGTAGAATACAGAGAACGTTAAACATGAGTAGTAAAAAATGAGTCCACATTTGAATTTTAACGCTTAATTTAAATTTAAAACTCATGTTATTCTTCCTGCTTGCTATTCTTTGATGCTTACTTCTTTCTTAAGTAAATCAATTAAACAATTTTTTTTTTTGTGCATATTTTGAAGTGAATTATGACTAAGAAAATGGTTTTATTTGAAGTGCTACACCTCCACCATGTATTAAAATTTTCAACCAGTGCAACAACTGTTTGAATCCAGTAGGCGCACTTACGCAACTAAAAGCCAGCTTTCACTTTCAACCGTTAACATTCAACTGTTAAGCAAAAGCAGCTGAAAACGAAAGCGGGAGTTAAATTTTTCATACGTGATTAACTCACTGATTTCAAACACATAAAAAGAATATATATTTGTCTGCATCAAAATCTTTCATTAAAAGAATAAAAATAAAGTTAAATTTCCATACGCTATAATATTGCGAGGGCATGGGTAACTTTTTCTATTTGTGTCGAATAAAAGTGGAAATTTATGTCGTATATCTGTTATAACTTATGGGCAAAATACGGTCTTCTCTCTATATCTAGTCTCTTTAATTTGATACCCGACTGATTATACTGTTAAGAAAAAATAAAAACTCTACGTTATGCGATCCACTATATTTATTTTAGGGTATGTAAATAAAATCAATCTCAAGCCAGTCTAGGTATTTGCTATTCCTATTTAAAAACTAATGGAAGATTTAATAGTGAGAATTGTTGGAAATGGTCACACAAACATCGCAGTTAAGAAAAATGTCTATTCAAAATTTTATATTTCTATTTTTTCGTTTTTATTTTGGGAAATGCTGCAAATGCCAAAAATATTTTATACCCATTAGCGGATTCCCTAACTCCAACTGTGTTCTGCCTTCTTGCTTAAGGCGGGCTAATCGGAAATATACTTCCCCGTAGCGGACACTGCAAACGACTGTTCAGATATTAATATTAATATTATAAATAATAATAATAATTAAAAGTGAAACAAATAAGCAAAGTGACGTAGGATATCACCATGCATTGTTGCAGTATAATATATGTTTAAAGTTACCGACAAAATGTAGCGTTTTTTCTTTCCTCCGCAGAGAATTTATTAACAAATTTATATCTGTTAACTTTATGTACTGGTTCTATTAAGCAGATTCACATGGCATCGGTGGTTCAGTGGTAGAATGCTCGCCTGCCACGCGGGCGGCCCGGGTTCGATTCCCGGCCGATGCAACGGACTTTTTTCTTGATCTATTAGTTAATAAATCATTTTTATTATTTTTGTAAAATTTTGATCAAACATGTTTTCCAAAAAGTAAAGGCATTGCCAAATTCCTCCTGCAATGATAAGGACGACAAAGCCAAAAGCAAGAACTTAATTGGATTAAAAACTATTCTACGCAAATCTCAGTTCCTAATTTTCAAACGCATTATCCAAATTGATCGATCATCGATATTACACTTATTTACGTTTTTCTTCGCGGTTGCTACAATTCTTTTTTAAATATTAATTATGGCTCACACTACTTTTAGTATAGAGCGTGTTAAATTTTTGGGGATGTATGTAACACCCAGAAGGGCCTTTTATTATATTAATTCCTGAATCGATTTAAGCATATCTGTCTCTCTGCCCAACTGGCGTCTATATTTCTGCGTTCATCACACAGGTAGCAATTTATGAAATATTTTGAAGAAATATTTTGGCGACACTGATTTCTTTTGATCCTAGCGACGGGTTGCATCGGCGCATTTTTACAACCACTCTCCATATAACACTTTTTGGAAAAAAATTTTTGTATGAAAGCAAATTGAAATTTTCGAATTAAGACCTACACTGAACCCTTCTTACGTAATCGTTCCTACGAAAGGTAAGCTTTCGCGTGAAAACTTTCTATGATAATAGTCAGACATCAAAATCAATTGTACCAACTTTGAATCATCTAAGTGTGCTTCTTGTACCCAACCCTCTAAAAAAGTTCTGATGGAAAGTGAATCTTTATGTGACAAAAAGGTATGTTTTTTAATATATCGTTATCAAAATTGCTTCGTAATTGTAACCTGACAAAGAAACTACCTTTACCATGTTTGGACTAAGTAGGTCTCACGTTTAGACCCCACACCGTATAAGCGTACTCATGGAAAGCAAGCCTTTGCATACTAGACAAGTACAATTTTTAGTATTTTATCACGGAAAAAAATGGAAGAATTCTATCAGATGGAGTGGCGTAGGGTATCATATACTTAGCTTTACCCGACTATAATATTTATATTTGTTTTAAAGTTACTTTGAAACTACTTACTGGTATTTGGACTAAAGTGCCGTTGTTTAAGGTGGGATACGAATACAACGGTACAACTGGCACAGTGTTGTTTTTCAATAGTATGGGTCCTTGTATGGGAGTCACCGTCGGCATAGACGACTTCTTGGCACCATCTATGTAACGATATGAAAAAGAAATAAATATTATTTTTTATTAGATTGTTGCACAAACGGAAGCATTGACTGCCACATCCCACCCCACGCAAAATAGACGGGAGCCCGTTCGTGGAAATTTGCATTTAAGTTGTAAAATATGACAATTATTTGTTAGCTCGACGACACCTCCAATAACTACTGCACTTAATGTTGTTAAGAAACGTAGAAGAGTTTAGCGGGTGGCAATAACCCGCTATGAGCGCCTGGTAAAGTGATTTGCATAACGTAAACGCTTTCCATAACATCTGGCATTAGACATCTGCATATGTTGAATGCGTGAAGTAAGCTGACTAATAAACTCTAGCGTAAAAAAAAAATTTAATATCTCCGTATTGACTCTTCTAAGGTATACCAAGGGTCCTTTTATCTTCAAATTTAGTATTATTTTGTTTTTAATTTTGCGTAAATTCACCTTAGTAGAGAAATATTTATAATCATAACCAAATGTAACAGCGTGCATGCTGCCATACTACGCCTCTTATTTTTATTTTCCTTAACTTCTTTATTTAAATTGATCGAAATACTCTAAATTTAAGTGTGGAATCTTCTCCAATAACTATGTCAGCTTTTTTTTAGCTTCGTTCGTTTGGCATAAAAAAGTCAGCTTTCACTTTTTATGATTTCTTGTCATTTGTTATGCAGGACCAGCCCTTTACTTGAAAAACTTGTTCCAATTTTTCTTCTTTTTTTTTTAATTTTATTTATTTTTGTAGAAAAAAAAGTAATTTTTTTTTTGTAATTATTTAACTCATCAACAAAGTATACTCAACATAGCAAGAAAAATATATTCGTTTTACAGTAATTTTGAATACGTTACAAACACTCTTGTCATTAAATAAGAGGGGGAAAAATAAAAATAAAAAAAAAGGAGATATAAGAAATTTTTGAAGTTTCTTTCGTTAAGAACACGCAAATTGCATTATTATTATGTAATATAAAAAATTTCGCTTTTTTCCAAACCTTGTAACGTGTTGTGCCAAATCAAGCACATTTTCAAAAGTTTGTAAACTTTGTAAACTTAATTCAAAAACGTGTCTATTAGAGGTGCCACAAGTTTTTATTCCAACGGACGGAGGGACATTAATAAACGCGTTTGCCAGGCTTCAACGTTCCATTCCTCATTTTGATGATATTTAGAATTTTAAAAGCATAGACACGAACAACCGGACAAATATTGTTAGTATTTTCATAGCTTAACGCATGGATGTACGAACAGATGCTTAGAAATTGTTTTACTAGGACACAATATTCTATTCGACGGTGAGCGATTTTCACAATGTCTTATGCACAGACAGAGGGACATACTTTAACTTTCTACTCCAATTTCAACGATATTAAGAATTTTAAAAGCACACTCACGTACAAACACGGTTGGATATTAATGAATTAGTACGGAGTCACTTTCCGCTCCTTTCGTTGCACACTGGATAAGAAATTCAGCATACCGTGATCGTTGTGCACTACACGCGAAAATATTGCACGTGCTCATGATTCGTTATTACACAATAACGCTTAACAATTAAATTTTAAAAAGTTTAGTATGTGACCACGTTCACAGGCAAAGTATATATATGTAAATGCATTTTGCAACACCTCAATATATTGTTACATTTAATTTTTCGCACAATGCTTTTGAGCAACCATATAAACCAGATACATACATTTTGTCTCAAAACGTTTGTGACATCCGCAATGGGAAGCTCCACAAATTCCTTAAGGTATATAATATATACTCTAGGCATATCCTCCCCGTACGTCTGCATCTACCGACTGTAACGTCGCTTGCAAACATTCCTTCCACAGTAAAAAAAAAGGATTGAGTTTAAGAGATTCGGTTACAATCGACTATAATTTTCTTCCTTAGTTGATCTTTTTCTCTTCAGAGACCATTGTTTTTGTATTTCTAATTGTGATTCTTTGTTGATATTTCTAAGAATGCATGCCATTGAATAACATATCAATTTTTGTTCTTGAGAGATTTTATCGCAAATAATTTATCACCAAATATTTGAACAAACCCGTAAATCCTATCCTATCCTATCCTTTCTTTACAAACAGATGGCGGTAGCGAATGTTTCTTGCAACAGCTAGAACAAGCAAAGGTATACAAATGCATCGACTAACAAGTTTTCGCCGATTAAGAACATGGCCAGGGTCACCCGTTCTTCTGGGGAGATTTGAATTAAAATTTTTTTTTTTCAATATATTGCTTGGATCTTGCCAAGGTGCACAAATTGTTAACACTTATAGCGAAAACAATGAATCCACCATTACGTTGTGGATATATGGGATGAGGCTCATGTTTAATTAAATAACTTTATAACTGAAGTCTATTGGATTTGGTGTAAAGGAAAAACCTCTGATGCTCCTGAAGGACTTTTACAAAAAATAACTTTCGGGTGTGGTTTGCGGACTGAATAGGTCATTTTTGAACATGGAAATGGCGTTGCAGTTACTCTCAATGACAAATACCTTTACTATTGATCAATTTATTTTCGAGTCGCGCCTACTTTCGAATTACTCCGAAAATATCGAGATGCCTCTTATAACCCACCTTACTTTCGATGTAGAGTAAATTAGGTTTGTGCATATATCTGCGTCATCTAAGCGGACTTAATATAGATATAGAGACCTTTTATACACCGCTTGCTTGCTTTTTGTGCTGATGTCGATGAAATTTGGTGCACTGAAGTGTTTTAGCCCAAGGATAAACGCTATTGATAATTGTTAGATGGATGTAGAAGCGCATTAAGCAAATTGGTGTGGGATATTTGCGGGCAGGCCTTGGCCGACTGTAATGTTTTCATTTGCTTTTTTATTTATCAATCGGCTCTGTCACCTTTTATACGCTCTTTGTTTTACTCGATCACTAACATGATGAGACCCTAAAATCATCTATTAGGACAATCGACACGACATTTTTCCTTCACTTCTTTCTCATTTCTAATAATTCGTTCACTAACAAGTAATTTATTTATTTTTTCTATTTTTTACTAATCTTTTTTCGAATTTTTTTTAAAATTTTATCTTTTATTTGTTTGTTTAATTAGTGCTCAGGCACACATATGATAACTATTGAAAAGCCTGTGAATCATATAAATTTTACAGTTATGACTAATAGAAAAAATGTTCAGAATTAAAGCCGGTTTAATTAAAAGTACTGCTATTATTAAAGAAAATAAAATTGTATATGTATGCGAGCGTTTATATATGTTTGCATATATGTACGTATATACATTTTATTATGATAACATTTTAATAAAAAAAAATTGCAAATGTTTCAATATTCCCACCAACGGAAAAGACGATACAACGGGAAAGACACTTACATCTAACAGATACGTCGCATCGTATACTGTAGTGTAGACGAAAATCTTTAGTCTCAAGCCAATTAATTAGATGCGAGTCTGAAATACGATTTACTTAAAGGTTTTTAAAGCAAAAGTTTGCAACGTATCTTTGGCGCTCGTCTCGCAAACAAAATCATCGCTGTTCATTACACAAATTCGATGGATTTTAAACCTAAGCGAAATATATCTTTTTTGATCAAGACTGATCACGTGATAAAAAGACAATTTTTAAATCAAAACGTTCCACTTGAACACACCATTGCAACGCTTTGTCAATCCTAAAACCTCTCTAGTAGTCGGAAATTAGTTTTCGGCGCATCTAACCCTACTAAAATTTTGATCAATGAAATATTTGACTTTAAAAATTGCTAAGCAAACCCTCTAAACTACCTTAAAAAAAGAAGAAGGCGAAGGCTCTGAGTTGCTAGTGCTCATCCTAGAGTTTATATGTTGGGTCTAGAAAACTGGTAATAGTAATAAATACTATTGGTTAACTGTCAGAAGCGGGTTTGATTCTGGAGATTCATTAAGAACAACTCTAACTATGATCTTTGATTTCAAAATCATTGTGATTTTGTTAATTCCCGCAGCAAGCAACGACAGGTGGATAAAAAAGTGTATGCAAGCAATGACGCTCTTTTCTAAACACAAGTAATAAATTTGTTTTTTTAAAAAAACAAAAAACAAACATTGTCTCAACATCGTCATATCACGGCAGCTGTTAAATAATTTGTTCCAATATTGAAAAGCAAAAACCATTTTTTGCGCTTCTGTTTGTTGTGAAAAGCAAACGCAATGATTTAAACTTTAATTTTTCGAAAGCGCTACTACTTACAAGTAAGTATTAATCATGTTTGTATTATTTTCTAGGTCTTTTTTTCCAGGTTAATGCAAAACGCGTGCTTAAGCCAAAGGTAAGTAAATTTTATTTAAAAAAAAACAACAACAACAACGTATTATTTATATATCCCCTAAAGTTATGATCATGTTAACAGGGCATGCACATACACCACACATTTTATGACGAAAGCAAGCAAAACATTTTCGCCGTTTAACATAAGAACTGAACTGGGCTGAGCTGAGCTGAGCTGAGCTGAGCTGATTTTATGTACATTTTTTATACAGTGACGTGTAATTGTACATTAAATAGACAAACAGTCAGACTGCTTGCCTGTATTTACGACATAAACGTTTACATACGAATATGCAGACACTTTGTTTATCTTATTCTTTATTTTTATTTATATGCGACAAAACTGACTTCTCAGTTATTCAGCGGAACGATTCAAGGCAATCGAGACCTTTCATTTTTCAGCTGAGTTTTCAAATTAAATTTTTTCTTTTCATATTTCTAAGCTTACAGCTTAACTTCATTATTCCATTAAAATATGTTTATGCATGAATCTAAAGAATACTTCAGCCAGCCAGCGCTCTACTTTACGTAAAAGCGTCACAAGCAAAGACTGCATTTTGGTAAATTATATCTTAACCAAAATTATATATCTCTTGATGTGCACAATTTACAATTACAACAAATAATATTGATAACAATAAAGATGGATTGGACAGCTTCTCAATACCCTACAGACCTATAAATAGACAATTGATCATGGAAACTCTACGAGACGGTCCTTTTCCAAAGCTCACAGACATTTTTCTTATACTTGAAATGCACTCTATTAAAGAAGAAGACATGCACTACAAACTACCAAAGCGCTCTGCGGCAATCAAAACAGCTAATCCAAATGCGAACTTGAAGAAAAAAAAACCATTCATTTCATATACCTATGTACGTCTAGTAAAACACGTAGAGGATGTTAAAAATATAGATATTTGCGCGGTTGACGTGTATTTGAATGAAAAACTGTAGTTTTTGTCCAAAAAAGCATTCCGTTGTTAATAAAAAACGTTTCCATTAACTTATTTCACTTGAAAATATTGTAAAAAATTTGGATGAATAAATGAAAAATGTTTCGGTAATGCTGCTTGTGAGTAATGCATTTAAAGTTCCAAGGGCCGATATAATGCCCTACAATTATGTTTGAAAAATCATATATTTCGACCATTCAAAGTTTTTCAAAGCCCACAATTGCGGGATCATTTAAATGAATGGAAAAAAGTTCGATTTTTGAAAATGTTTTATCAGGGCAAGTTTTACGTTTACGTTCACGTCTACGTTACGTGGAAACTTTTGCAACATACAAAGGGAAACTTCAGCAACCCCATAAAGTACGAACATCTTTCATAGGTATTTAAAGCTAAAATGAGCTAATGCTGCCCGTCTGTACGTTCGTTCGTCTTTCCAGAAGTCCGCCTGTCGATCTGTGCCAACTTCCAATTTGACAAAATCATTGGGCGCCGGTGCAGTACTACTTAAATTGGCAATAGTTCGGGTTTCTGGGCTTTTTACTCATTACTCATTAATATCAGCGAGATAAACATTTTCAAAAAAAAAAAAAATGGAAAAATCAGCCCCGCCTACGGTCAACATTCCGTTTTTTTTTTTAATGTCTCTTAAGCCAAGGGCGCTAAGTATGAAAAACTCATAACCTGCAAGAAGAATCTCATCTGAAGCTTTTAATTTTAATGCCTTGGCAGAACCCTTAAAAGCATTCGGTCCATTGAGTAAAATATTTTTGTTCGGAAATGCTTTCAAATGAATACAAATACTTTCTAAAAAATATCTGTTCTTGTATAGGAGGACTTGGATGAGATGTAGTCGGCAAACCTTTCAGGGGATGCGGCTTCTTGAGCGCTTAGCCAGAAACGAAAAATTTCGAAAAAAAACATTTCTTTCAGGTAATCAATAAGTAAAGTAGTAAACTATTAGAAAAAAAATTCTCAAAGAGGTGAACTTCTTCCGTTGCCCGCATTTGCCGATTACTGTTATTACTCATTGAGCGGTCTTCTTGTTCAATTACATTTGTACGATATACTTTTCCTGGACATTTTTTGATACCTAAAATCCTGGCCATACACCTTGACCTGTGGCTTTATAGATAGGAATAAATATGTAATACTTAATATAATTTAAGGAATGAGAAAGAAAGAAGAAAGAAATAAAATTCTAGTTTTTTACATAATAAAAAAATATTCAATCGAATATCAATCTTCAACGGATCATGTGCAATCTTTAGTTGAACTTTGATTAAAGTATGAGTTGCTTTCTTTTTCTTTTTCCTTTTCATTTCTTTGTTTTTATTTCAAGCTCATCATTGTAGAGTGATGAATCTTAAAAGAAAACAGAAAAATATGTGACAGTTTCTAAAAAAAAATGCATTACAATTAACGTATTGCGATCTTTATTTGATGTATGATCTCATGATCCCCATTGATATCCGACATTTGTTTGCTGTTAGTTGTGTTTGTTTTTCATTCTTTTTTTTTTTCTTTTTAATATATATCGACAACAGCTTTGCTATTATCCAGCACAATATAACCAAGAGAATCTTTTTTTTTTTTTTTTATAAATAATGAGTTCATTATAATCACTAGAACTAAATGTCTGTACATACGTACGTAATGGATACTTTTGTTCCGATAGTACTCTTTTGATTGATGGCTTCGCTAATGCGGTTAAATGGGATAATAATAATAATAATAGTCGTTATTGTCTACTTTGTCTCAGTTTGTGCTCGCGTCGATTTCACACCATTACTAACATCGTTCATGCGCCATTCAATTCGATTCGTTTACAATATTGCTATTAACTGAAAGATTGTAATATGTAGAGTATTGTTTAATGTTCCAGTATGCATTTTAAGCGTTAAATACTTTCATGTATAATTGAAATCTGCGTCTATAGTACTTTTCCAGACTTGCTAATGAATTTTTTTAGGGAACTTGTACACAGATATGGGAAATTTCATTTTAATTAATTCGTGACAGGGCTTTTCCCGTTTTACGCATAGTAAGCATTAAACTGTCTTCGTTCTATTTTGAAAATCGTTGGATGATCATCTCCTATGGAAATAGAAAGATACGTGGAACATAGAAAGCAAGCAGTAAACATATAAAAAACTTTTTTCTCTAAAACTCGGCTTATTGTTTCGTCGAAAAGGGTGTCTACAGCCGAGGATGTATAAACATCACATATTTCACTAGGTCCTCTGCGGAATAACGGAGTAGAAAAGTGTTCTGACTACAAAGTCAGTTTCATGTGTCAGTGCGGTTTAAGCATAATCGGTCGCAGCTACACAAGTGTTTAATCGATTATGGCGTAACGCTTACACTCACCGATCATGGGCCACTGCCTGTTTCTTTCTCTTTCCCCCTAATCATCAATCTGTTACACATATACCGGCCATCCATTAAGAGAATGGTTGTAGGGTATTTAATGATGAAACGTGGCCTACCCGAATATCTTTACTTATTCAAGAAGTTCTTATTAAAGTTTTCGTTCAAATATTTACTATTTCCTTGTGCAAAGGACTGCGTTTGAACAAATGAAGCAAAGCTATGAAAAAAGATATGTGCACATAAAAATAGCGCAAAATTCAATATCTATCAAAACAATTGTGGTAAGTAAAAGAAGTGAAAGTAAAATGTTTTCTCTCCGTTACTCAATCAATAGTTCCTGCCGCATACGATGCATAAATAAAAAGAAAAAGAGTATTCCATTAAAATGTTTTTAACGATACTAATAAACAATATGTTGTTGTTAGTTTTATTAATCGTAAGCGTTAGAGATTAACTCTAATAAAAATGCAGATTTTCCTTAACGATAAACTGACTTAAAATCATTGACCTTATCTTGGCGTGAATTGAATTGAGCAAAAACTTCCTTAAACAGTTATGTTAAATGAAGATACGTAGAATATGTACGAGTATCGCTATTTCAAAAGTCAATTCACTAAGCCGCTACTTGAGTGCTTACGCAATATTAAAATTTATTTAGGAAACTCTTCTATAATTTTCGTAGTTTTATTAATTTTGTTGTGCGTTTTTCTATATTATATTAAATTTATAGCTTAGATGGCCTTTTCAGACGCGCTCATTAAGCTTCATTCAATATTATTAAGCTTTTAAAGATTCTTTTCATTTTCAATTACTTAAGAATGCCATTGTCAACTTATTTCAATTTAATATTTTTCTTTATCTTTTCGCCCAGTATCGTTTCGTGTCATTTATCGAACATAATTTTACTGTTGAACAAAAGACTTAAGGCACAAACTTGCTAATCATTAAAAAATTCAATTAAGGTTTTTGTTTCTTTCACCTTTATTAACTAGTTCGCCTTGATCTTGAACATCATAATAATCATCTTCTTCGCCTTCTTCCAGATCATAATCCAATACTGCATGAACTTGTGTTCGACCACCTTGACCGGCTTGCACTCTTGTAAAACCTGGTGGTCGCTCAGGGTAAGGCTTATTGCCGTCATTGTCAGAGTTAAACGATGGCTTTTGTTTGGAGCCTTCATTAGGCGATTTATTAACATAACTCTCGAGTTCGGGGGCATTTGCCGAAACATCATAAGCTGGCGTTTTCTTTTCATGTTCAAAACTATAATTTCTGTTTGTTTGAGCCCGAGGAGTTAAATTACCCGTCGATGTACGTATTTGATGTTGTTGTTGATGTTGTTGCTGTTGCTGATTTGGTGTATTAAAAATATTAAAGTATTTTTGTTCTTGTTGACGATGATGAATATTCTGCGATTGCTTTTGAGTCATAGTTGAATAAGAACCTTCACCATAAGTGCGTGTATTGCTCGCAGTAGTCGAGCTGGCATATGAAGCTGAAGCTGAAGATGCGATACCAGTTTGGAACGCATTTTTGTTAGCAGTTTGTTGTTGCGTTTGAGTTTGAGAGTCAATGTGACTAAAGTGCACCTGTTGGCTATGATGAGGAAATTGCTGTTGTTGTGGCACTTGCTGAAACTGCGTATTTATCGCCCCCGGTGGTGGTATGGGCGGTAAATAAGTATTCTTTCGTCTCCCATTACTATTATTCTGACTAAATTGATAACTTGTTGTTTGCACTTGTTGAGGCGGAGCGTACGGATTATTTTTATAAATATCTGATCCCGGCGGTGGCGGTAAACCCTCATTTTGTTGCTGATGCTCGGCCGGTGAATATAAAAGATTATTGCTTCCGGCTGCTAGCTGTTCATGAACTGGATGTAAAGGCGATACACTTGGACTCCAAGGAGCCAAATTCGGCGATAGGTTACCAAAAGGTAATGAAAAATTTGTTACAGCCATTTTAATTTAATTACTTATACAATTTTTTATGTTGATCTACACTACACTATTCTTAATAAACTTTCGCCTTATATGCACTAACTGTTCTCGATTTATTTTTGTCGATACGTTTGCATAAATTTTTAAATATCGAAGAATTTTACCGTCGGTGCTTTAGACATTTTATTTTTCCACAATATTTTTCAATTTTGTTTCTCAGACTCTTTAATTACTGTAACACAAAAACAGGCTCTCATATGCAAATTACTTTGATAATGAAAACAACGTAAGATGATAATAACAAAAATAAGCAAAAAAAAAAAAAAAAAAAAAACCAATACTTGAAACACTTCTGGTTTATTTTAACAGATTTGCTTGTAAAACGCGCGCCTCTTTCGTTTTTTAGCAGCAGAATTGCTTTTTAATTAAAACTACTTTAAAACAGTAAACTAAGCGCTTGCAACGGAACGATTTGATGACAAACAATTGAATGAAGCATTTGACCAAATAAATAAAACTATTTGTGTTTTCGCTCTTTTAACTATTTAAGAAATGAATAAGAAGCATAAACTTGTATCGAAGAGGACAAGTTTCTCTTTATATACTAAAATATTCGTATAAGAATTGTAAACAAAATGCAACTACTCAACGCTAACAGACATAAAAAAGAGAAAATATCTGCTGATCGTAGCAGTGCTGCTAATATGCAATTTAAGCGATTTTTGTTAAAAAAGCAAACATTTTCAATCTCAATTAGTAATAACTATAACAGTTTAGAACGATTAAATGTAACTTACCTATAGTTATTAACTTATTTTATTCAGTTCGTCTAACACGCGCAGCAAAGAATGCAGAATGCAAATGGAAGAAGAGAATACAGTCTTACGCAAATAATTGAATGCAAAAAAAAGAAGAGAAGGCAAGCAAAAGCAAGACGCAAGACGCAAGACGTACGATATAATATTTCTCAAAAAAACATTTATCTGGCTTAAAATGAATTTTTTCTTGCGTTTCTAATAAGCTCTAATTATTATATCTTAAGTGCGTTTGGCACGCCTAACATATTTCCTATTATTATTATTTTTTTTTTTCTTCAAATCACCAATCACTGAGGGGAAGTGTCTTAATCGTGTAACACGAAGAAGAAGAAGTGAAAAAAGCGACAGATGTAAGGAGATGACCGCAGCTTATGTGCGCCCAATCGATAAGTATTACGCCTTACTACCGCACTGAGCTTTGAACCCGCGAATATTGACTTGTTAGCCGCGATTCTTATTTCTTGCTTGCTATTGCTCATTTTGTCGACTAACAACCCGATGGTCGTTGATTGAAGTCTGCAATGCGGCATAATTTAGACTTACATCTTGTCGCTGTGGCTAAATTAATTATAATAACAATAATGAAATGACAAATTTCCTGTAAATGGGATATAGATGGGATAAATGCCCACAAATGCTACTGCCTATAAATATCCACATCTATAAACATTTGATATAAGAAAAATTGAAGAACAATATCACTTCCCGCGAAACGTCCTTAACTATGTAGCTCTTTGCTGAATAGAAAAATTTTGAGATTAAGGTTTCGAAGTTGCAATAGGAGAGAGACTGTATTTACATTCTTTGACTTTCAAGGTGAATTTCAAAATTTTACAAGGCTCTCTCTCTCTCTCTCTAGCAAGGGTAAGTTTAGATTAAATAAGAATATTTAACTGAAATTAACTCAAATTAATTCAAAAGTTATTGAATAAGGAAAATTTTTTTTTTTTTTTTAATATATATTTGAATGGAATGCTATAAAACTTATAAGCAAAACACATAAAGCGCTAAAGTCGCATTATTGCAAAGAGTATTCGTTTCCTTAGTGTACAATTTTTACTTTGACGGTCGTTACATAAGAAATATACAGGAAAGTAAATTTTACTCTCAGAAATAGAATCTTCGGTAACGACTGTAAAAACATGAAGGCCATGGAGGGTTTGATTTTTAGAAAATCGATCCGACACATAATCTCTAAAAGCATTTTGTACAACGCGTTATACAAGTAATTAAAAAGTTTTCTTACTCACGGGTAAATTGACATTTTTTTCTTTAACTTTTTGGCTTAAGAGACATTTTTTTTTAAACTTTTTATACTCAACACTTTTATTTCATTATCTCCTCTTAAAACACACGTAAACATCTCAGTTCCCGCACAATTTCGTCGATTGTTTTCTGGAGATTTTTATAATACTTAACGGCTTTCTCGCTTCGCTTACCTTTAATCGCCTTGTCATGTTAATTCTTCTTATCACAAACAGCTGTTCATAGATATCTATAATAAATAAATCTCTTCAGTTTTTAAGCGGCTCTCTTTATATCTCTTACAGAGCCTAACTGTTCTTTTCCAGGAACGTTCAATTAATATATGCAATAAGTGCCACATAACGTGAGATAAGGGAAAGGGAAATTATTTACGTTTCATAAATAAATAAATCAATTTAATCTTATCTTGTGATAGTTTTTGTGTTTTTGTTTATTGACTGGTTTATGGGCGGGGCGAAATTTTAAATGTTTTAAAAAGATCGGTTCTCGAAATTCAACGTGGAATCGCAGTACACCTATTTTAAATGCATTAAATAGCTTGGCAAGTGCGAAAGGCAAATATTAATAAAAAATATTTCAAACCCAATCCTATCAGGCCCATAGAAATTTTGAAAGCCATGAAATCAATTGTGTTGTCCTTCCTTAAAAAGGGACGCTCTTCAGGAACGCTTGGCTGCAACAACAGTTTGGCTTCAGTTTGCAGTCAAAAAGAAAAATTTGGCCTGATAATATGAGAAACAGTTCGAAAAATAGATCTCCTAGGCCCAACGTTCGTACGGTTAATTTCTATGTTAAATTGGGTCGACTTTCGTCCGTTCATATAAAAGCTAATTTTTCGTAGGAATAATTTTAGAGGAGAAAGCCCAAAACGTGGCCTATTCGTGGCCTAAATCATTTTACACCAATCTCGAATGCCGAAATAGTCAGTGATTTTTGTGACGAAATTTTAAAAATTGCTTCTTTGATTTCGTGTAGCAAGCTTACGAAAATAGGGTATTAGAAAGGGAGTGGTCCTAAAAGGGGGTCAGCATCCCACATGTCGTTAAAAAATTTCGAAAATTGTGAAACTGCGAGTGAACGCAGGAAGAACATGTAGACAAAGATCAGACGGACAGACGGACAGATAAATTTAAATCGCTTCAGAGATTTATGTTGAATCAGTCAGTATGATAAAAACATAATAAAGAGAGGTACGCCTTAAGCCCTTCTGGATGTTACGGTAATTAGAAAGTCCATATAAACTTAGTACTCTTTACTCTGTACCACAACTTGTGCAAGATATAATAAAATGAAAAATTGATTATTCTTTCTCTTTTGCAAACGCAGCATTTTTTCTTAAATAAGGTCAGAAAAATTTTGTGCTTATGCTAAGTAAGTTTTTTTCTTTGCACTCTTTGGCATAGTCTGGTAAGAATTTTCTTTATCGTTTCAAGGTTTCTGAATAAGGAACTAGTCTTTTAAATCCGTGTTGACTAGCAGACTGGACCGTTGAAAGTGTGTTAATCAAAACGTATGACACTTGTTGTTAAACCTTAAGCCAATGCGGTTTGGGGATTTTTGTTTTCTAATAACTTTTCTTGGTATTTTGAAGGTAAGATTTTTCGCCATAACTAAGGAAGCGTTTTAAAAATGGATGAATGAGTGTAACATTTAGGCATAGCAATACGCTACTTGTTGTGTAAACATATTAATTGATTAAAATGAAAAAAAAAATTTTTTTTTTTTCATTTATTTCAAACAAGAATAAGCTCATAATGCAAGGAGATCTCAAATCGCAACACGTTTAAGGTGTTAACGCTATTAATGGCCCTATGCTGAGCACCACTGCAAAGAAATCACAACGACTTAAAATTACTCTAATATAACAAAATTAACGTGGGAGGGATTTAGCGCGATAACTGTTACGAAACGTCTTAATTGATCCAAATTAGAGACACTACGACAGGAAAAATAAACATTGTTTTCTTTTACGGCCTAATGTTTAGCAGCCGGTCACAACAGACGAGTATGGGCGTAGAGTAAAGAAAAATGTTTCTTTTTAATCTAAAAATACCTTACTACGCATGCAGTTCAATAAAAATCATGGATTCATGCAGTAATTCCCAATTCAGGTAACTCGCAAAATGGCTTAGAGCAAAGCATAAAAAACATAGAATTTTGACCAAAGTTAAAGTGAAAATAGCGTGTACAGCCCAGGGCACATAAATAGAAAAGATTTACGCCAAATCTTTTGGCTCTATAATATCCTTTGGCACTCCTCCTTCCTTTTAGGATTCTAATTGAAATCTTATCTCTTCTTATTATTTGCGAACTGTACAATGCAGTGAAGAATGTCATGACAAGATCAGGAAAGTAAAAAAGACTATTGTCCCCCTATGGAAAGAATATAACAAAACATTGATGATGTTTAGAAAAGGATGGTGTTAGAAAAGGAATCATAACAAATCTGAAAGATTTATTAAAACGAGGTAAATTAGGTTTTAAATGGAAGATCCATAATAAGAACTGAGACTCCAGAAAGAATATTGTTATGGGATTCACTTTGGTTACACAGTCTGACAAGATATTTGAAAGAAATTTAAGTTGAATTCGATTTTTATTTTATGGAAAATATGGGTCATCGGGACTAGTTGTCACTAAAGTACTCCCAGCCTTCACCAATTAGAGGAGTGAGGACTCAGATTGATATTTTTGAAGTATTTCAATATTAGAATTACTCCCTACTCCCCACAGTTGCATGCCACAGATCCACATAATTGGGACGGTAACCTTGTACAAAATGCATTTGTTCCAAGTTGGCAGCATTTTTAGCCCCACTACGTGCATAAAGAAAATATTTACCGTTATACCGTTTTCAGTTTTGATTGCCTTGCATGCTAAATTGGTGATTTTAATAGGAAAGTTTTAATGGGCTGAGAACTTTAGTCATTACATTGCTGAAGAAAGTAAAATTTATTGGCTCTGCATTGTCAAAGCGCTATAACAGATTGAGTCTCACAACCGATTAAACTTTCGATGAACTATCGAGAATTTGCGATTATTTAGTGGTTAGATGTTTAGGCATTTAAGCCAGACCACCACGTGGACGAATTTGTGATTTTATATCATCTTTAAATTTTCATTGACTTAAAATACCGCTTATATGCTGGTGTTCTATAGGCGGCAATGTGTATATGCGTATACGTGTGTTTCAGAATGCAAACCCGTAAGAAAGAATAAATCCATGCCTGCACCGGACGATGGTGTCATCCTTCCTTAAATTATAGATGTCGGTATGCACATGCATGAAACAATACCGTCTGCCACTGTTTGTGTACAGATCAAGCGCGAATGATATCTTAGTAATAATCGTTATAAAAAAAAAAGAAAATAACAAAAAAAGAAAAAGGAGAGCATGCATGTGTGGGTAAAAAAGGC